GTCTAGATATACTGATTTAAAAGTGATTAAAAATAAATGAGACTTCTACAGGAAGAACAATTTTCTTGATGTTTCATTGTAGATGATTTGGCAAAGCCCAAAATCATATGTTCATATTAAACCTTTCTTTAAGGTCTCAAGATATTTCTTCATTTGTAGCTCATTAATTCTCATAATTGTCCTGTGAGCTAAACATTGAGCAGAACAAAATAAAAAAAAAAAATGATTCCTGAAGCTTAGTCTGCAAAAACAACATTGTCAAATCACAGCAGAGAAATGTTTAGTTTTAAAACTGTGGAGCTGATCAGCAAAACTCAAATGACACAAGTCCTCTTTTCCTTCTCATTTTAAAAATAAAATATTAGCTTAAACAAAGTTTATAGTATTGCTTATTGTTTTCTTTTTCCATATGTTGAGTAAATTTGCAGCCTTATGGAGTGGATATTTTTGAGGATGTTCCGCCTAATTATTGTGGTAGATTTTGTTCTCTCTATTGTGTAACCCTTCTTGTCAACAGACGAAAGAGGTCATATTTCTGGTACAAGGAAAAAGATTTATGAAATTGGCAAAGGTGTCTTATTTATTTGGATGAAGTTCACAGAAATCATGCATCCTGGTATGCAAGACTTAAGTTAATTTAGGCTATTATTTTTTTATGTTTTCCACTCAGTACAAGAAATCCCAAGGAAATATGCACCTCACTTTAAATAAATTTGATTTACGGCTATTTAGAAGCCTATCAGAGTTCCTAGTTTTTCAAGTTTGTATTAGTATTCATTAACCTAAGAAGTTTCTCTGGACTATGTAAAACTATATTTGTGTTACAAAAGACACTTGCTTCCTCAATAATTTTTAGTAACATATTACATATGAAGGAAGATATATGTATGATGTTGAGATATATATTTCCAATTCTTCAAATGTTCTTTAAATAATACTTAAAAATCAGGAGTCTTCTCCTTGTGAGGATTGGAATAAGAATGGAAGAGGAGAGAGAGAAAAGGGAGGAAGAGGGGAAGAAAACACAGTGCTGGCCGAGGCTGCTACTTAGCTTTCTACTCCCACTAATAACACAAAAATATAATAAACATAAAATGACAGAAAAGTTGCAGATGAGCTACCAGCAGAGTTGACAATGTCTGATGTGAAATGAAAACTAATATTCAAAAGATACCCATTTGAAGCCTTATGACAAAAAGGCAAGATTTAAAAGACACTGTGAAAAATAACTTCTCTAGAAGGACATGACCCAGAAAGTTTTGATCCACTCCACATTCTAGGCATATAACTTCACACAAGTTACATATGGATACAATTAAAGATAATTTGTGAACTTCAACTTCCATCATTTTTGTTCCAGACTCACTCAATAAATACACTAACTTTGTAACCAGACTATTTAATTTGTCAGGAATGGCGAAACTAAGCTGATAGACCATCTTTTTTGGCAGCAGAAATATAATGTTTGTCGTACTAAGTAATTAGGAGTACCATTTTCTAAATTTTGAAAACCATAATAGATTTTCAGCATGAAAGGGACAGAATGAATATTCCAATTGTTAAAATAAGTAAATGGCTTTGTCTCTTCATTTATTGGTCATTTTTTTAAAGATAATTACTGTGTTTTCTCATATAAGTAAATGTTTGGTCTATTCCCCCAAAGTGCACTGATTATTTTTATGACATTTTCTTCTACATTGTAATGGTTATTTTATAAAATACTTGAATAGTAACTGTGTGATTAATGTATTTCTGAATAAGCTGATATACACTTAGAATCCAGTTCAACAATGAACTAGGTTTATCTTTGTTACTTTTAAAGCTAAGTATATTAACAATGTTCTTTGGAAGTGTATTCATGAAGAACAGATAATGTTTATGAGATGAATGCATGAAAATAATGTACCTATCTTTCTATTATTATTTTATTTATTTATTTATTTTAAATTTTTAGCTGAGACATCCTGCTCAGCGGCAGCTCAGCGGCAGCTCAGCTCGGGCCGGGAATCGAACCAGCAACCCTGTTGCTCAGAGCTTGCACTCTTGAGCGAGCTGTTAACCAACTGAGCCACTTGACTGGCCCTAATGCACCTATCTTTAAACAAATACCAGAATATATGCATCCAAATGAGAAGTAACAGTTTGGAAGCCAGTATATTATACCAGTTATCTTACTGTTATAAGTACGACATTATAATCAATATCAAAATATTTCAGAACTTTTAAAAGTGTCTCTATTCTACACTACTCATGCAAAATATTTCATCTCATATTACTTTCTAAGCACACACCATTTTTTTAAAACCACTTTGGAAATTAATTGTCCACTTTACTCATCAGATTTGACTAAAAATTATTTGCTGTTTCTGGAAATTAAATCCAATCTCACTGCCATTGAGGACAAATTATATATATAACATGAAAAATAGGTCTCATCAAATTTTTAGTACTGGCATCATCATTGTAATAATTGAACAAACTTACAATAACACTTATTTGAGAAAGAAATGGAAGCTACTCATTAGTACATGTAATTCTGACATGTTTATAAAAATCATTTACATACATGAGGTGATTAAGCCTCATAAAAGTAACAAGTGTATATAATGACATGTGTGTCATTATATCTATCATATAGGTGTAACTGTATATATCATACTTAAATGTGAAATATCATGGAAATGTAGTACAAAGAACAGTTAGAATTATTTTTCTGGTAAAATTCTGTTATGGAAATTATCACTTGGTTAAATATTTAAAACTGGAGTTATTCTGTAGTTTAGATAGCATATCTAATTGTGTTAATTGATGTGTACACACATGACATAACACACAGACATATACACTTTGTATGTCTGGCATCTGTTCTGATGGCTGCTGTTTTGCTCATTCTGATGAGCCTCCTCTTTTTTATTACAGAACCAATTGTTATAGAAGCAATCACATGTCCTCAGCACTTCTATTTTAGCTCAGGTGGAGTTATGCTAGTGGGTTACTTTAATTAATATTTCTCCCACATTCTGAACCCATGGGCTATTTCTTCTTCTTCTTCATTCAGTTTTTGTGACATGCTTTTTCTCTACCTTTTACCAGTGTCATACTGCTCTCTAGTTTATTGTAATATTCTTCCAGTTGAATTTTACAAGCATATATGTGATTATTTGATAATAACGAAAAGCTGCTTTTTAAACATAGCATATGTGTCCCCGAGTGCGGCCCTCAAGACTTCATTATTTTCTGTAAAGTGCTGGTGATGTAGCTCATAATAGGCATGTTCCAAGCTGCGGATATATTTTGATACATGGATACACGCTGGCAATTGCATCCTTTCTGACCCTTCCTTGGACAACTATTTTTCTCTCCTCATTCTGATTCCATGAAACTTCCAATAAAAACAGCCCCACTTAATGAGTTAAGTGAGAGTAGGGAGACTATCTCTTCCACCCATCGTCACATGCAAACATGCCCTGTACTGCTTCCTGCCCCTCACCCTTGCTTCTCACTTCTGGCAGCTCAGTTTATTCTAGCTCAAGTAATTTCATGTTTTAGATGTACACAGATTCAACCCCTCCAACTTTCCCTTCCGTTAACACTTTCCTAATTACCTGGGGGAAGTGGCATCTCTCACTCCCAACATTCACGATGATTATACACCAGAGTGTAACCAAAACTGTGCTGAGAAGAATAAGGTATAAGCAATAGTAATATGTATTTAAAAAACTAAAATAACCTACATTTTAGGGTTAAATATCACCAACAATTTCAAAAGCCTTTAAATATACCTCAAAATTTCTACATAAACTTCTCTATCTCCTGTCTTACCCTCACATGTATCAGCATAAACGTAAGTGTCTAAATAAATTCCCATTAATACCTGGAACGCCTGATCCAGGGCACCATGAAGCAACTGGAGCTTTGTTCTATATTCTTAAAATATTGAACAAATTACAATGAGGTTTGGTCTCACTGTATAGTGCATATTTAATCTTTTTGAAAAGCTTATCAAATTGAATCACGAGGTACAACTTGTTTACGCTAGAAGCAAATGTATGCAATATTATTAATGTACAATGTCCTGGCTTAATTGGAAAGAGTCCATGTTACTGTAAATACGTTTAGGAGTATAATACCACACAGTTCTAATTTGAAGTTGCCATTTGGTTACATTTTAAAACTAACTTATATGACTTGAAATTTTTTTTCTCTCTCTGCTACACATAATGTTGTTCTATTGATCCAGTTCAAACCAGATCCTACCAAAAATGAAAGAATGAATAAAGAAAGATTGAGTGATGTTTGAGGAAAGAGGAGAGTGGTGATGATGATGCAGACCACGGACAAGATATCACTTAAATTTGATTATCAGATGGTGTGATGTTTATCAAGCCAATGGCTAAACTGTACCCTGGAAGGACCCTTACTAGCATTCTTGCTATTGGCTCTAGCCTAAAGTTCTATAAATGGGATCTACTTTTTCACAAAAGAATGCAGTTTCAATATTCTCTCCTCCCCTCTCCCTCCTCCCTCTCCCTCTTCCATTCCCTCTCTCTACCCCACACCCCTACACCCAGGGTATGCAGGAGAAAATTTTAAAATCTCTTAATATTAACCTCAAATTTAGGTAATCAAGTACTAATGAAGGTATCTGAGCACAACCTACACCAATATAGCGTGGATCTCATGAATTTTCTGTTCATTTGTCAAAGGTATTGACTCTGCTGTCTGCAACTTAGTTTCCCAGCTTAAGTTCAAGGACAATCTTTAATATTCACACCAAAAATAAGATATACATGGAATCATCACAAATATTTAATCAAGTATACATTTGGACATGGGAAAGTCAAACTTATTGTTTAGTTAATTAAGCATTTTTTTTTTATCCATAGCATGAAATCAAACAGTATAATGTAAAACAACTTAATTTCTGGACATGAAAAAAATAATCACATCAAAATTTAGTTTTACAATAAAATCTAAAAGAAGTAATAAAGATCATTTACCTTCACAAATTGTGACACCGTTTCCTGAAAATCCCATGTTGCAATAACAGCCTTCAATTCCATTCCGTATTTCACATTTTGCATTTGGAAGACAAGGTGTCTTGGTGCAATTTTGAGCGTAGAAACAATTCAGCAAAGTGGAAAAACCCACTAAAGAAAAAGGAGAAATACATTTTTTCAGAAAGGAAAAGTGTCTCACCCATTGTTGAGTTAGACTACAATAAATACAAATAGTCTTCTCTCTTTCCATTTAAATTATAAGAACTTCCCAAGGGAACATTTAGCAAAATAACAGCAGAAGAGTAAGCAAAAAGATTAAGGAATTGCTTCAATCTTGGTGTTTTTCAAATAAGTCTCAACAAAGCTAAAACGTAGCAAACAACCCAGGTTTATAAAGACAACAGCATTCTTAGATCATTGGACCATAGTATCACCCTTCACTCTGAGGTGAGATACTTTTAAAGGTAATTGCATGATTGTAAAGCAATTCTTTCTCCTCTGAGAATGATACTGTGCTGGAATCACAGTAAATTGAGTGTTTGGATCTTTATAAATTCAAATTTGTGTTATTTTAAGACAAAGAGCAACATATCATAACATACAGAAGGACAAATGCAGTTACTACATTTTCTATGTTCTAATGATCTTTTTCAATTCTGACTTGTCTATTAAAAACAAAAACAAAAACCTTTCACATTTTCTCCCATCTGGGGAAATTAAAATAAAACTCTACGTACTGGTTAAAGATGCATCTTCCAGAAATGATACACCACATAAACATGGCCAACAAGATGCAGCATAGAAGAGAACAGGCCTTATTTTAGAGTCACTGAAAACAAAGTTGGAAATGGTCTTTTGTGGGCTGTTAGGAAAAAATAAGGAAAAGCATAGGCCGTTCCTTTTTTAATGTTGTCTAAGATCTTCTCTAAACAAGTCGGCTTGGGGATGGACAGTTATGAAACATGAAAGTTATTTTTTGAATATTTTCAGTCATCTGAGATAAATTGTCCTTACTGGTAACAAGAGTTCCTTAAACATTTGATTCTAAATGCCAGCTTCACATAGGGTTGTATATACTGTCTAAACCATAATTAATTCGCCTTCAAGGACATGATTTATTATCTTTCTGCACAGTATCATCAAAATCGTATTTTAAATGGACCCAAAGTTTGGGCTGTCAGTTCCCTTAAAATTCCAGGAAACCTCCCACAAGTGTTAGTGGTTCTGATTCCCCAAATGCCTTAGGGAGGTGGGGGGTTCAGAAGAAAGGTCAAAGTCTGAGACTTTGGGGATTTGAGGGACTTTGTTAGCAGGCACAAAGGGTAACTTTGTCCCTGGGCACTGAACATTGAACTCCAAAGTTGAAAGGCCAGGGAGAAAAACATCCTGAGAAGTTCTGTGTCAATTCTCATTGGAGCCTTGGCCATATGCCCTCGGCACGTGAGCTCCACCTCGGGAAAAACCCCATTCCCTACGAGTGACAGGCAACCTCAGAGACCAGGGGCGCTGGGCACTCACCTAGGAGCGGGAGGGGTTTCATTGGCGGTGGCCGAGGTGGTGGCGGTGGCCGGAGCGCGACAGGGTGTGTGGCTGTGTACCCGCGACGGGACGCGGCTGGGCGGGCGCACAGGGTCCCGGCTCCGTCTCCAGTGACGCGCCAGTTTCCTCCGGACACTTTCCGGCCTCTTTTGTGTGAGTGTGTGTGTCAAGCCCTGAGTCCGCTGACGTCGTCCGGCCCCCAGCCCCTTCCCCCATGCCACCCTAACTTTATTCCCTGCGTCTAGGCTTCCAACCTCGAGCACTCCTGCAGACCCTTTGCGGAATCATTTTGCCCCCCTGGGTGCCACCCTCAAGGCCTGTGCTCAGTAGCTTTATAAAGCGCTTCAGAGACCCATGCAGTGTCCCTCCTGAGAACAGTTAGGGCTGCATAGATCTTAGGGGTCCTTCCTACAGCCTAAATTCCAGGACATTGCAATTCTTTTATTTACTAGTAAATTTCTATAAAGAACTGCGGGCCAAGAAGTAGGCTGAGCCCTGACTTCAAGCAATGGGAATCTCATTGCCAGTTTTCGTTCCTCACCTTGCTGAAGCTCAGGGTACCAGAGTGTAAAGTAAGGATATTCTCTACCTTGCCTAGAGATTAGGGTTGTTGTTAAAACGACTGAGTAAAAACAAACAAATAACACCAAGTTTCAAGAATTACACTGCTATGGAAGTACAAAATGTTGTTCCCCTTTTTCAATTAAAATTTACCCGTACTCTCACCGCCCACTCCAGAACGCCTGGGGCATCACGTCTAGTCTTCCTTTGTTTGTTTCCATAGATGAGGTGATTACACAGAAACTGATGATTCAGGTTGAGGCATAGAAATAATTCTCGCTTAAAAACAGAAAATAAGGTAAGGCTTAATCTATAATGATAGAAAGCAGATCAGTTTTTGCCTCAGGTTGGGGTGGGAAGTGGGGAGTGACTACAGAGAAGCACAGAGGAAAATTTGGGGGCAGTGGAAATATTCCACACCTTGACTGGAGTGGAGGTTACATGAATGCATGCACTCATCAGAACTCAACTCTTACAATTGGTGCATTTATTGTATGTAAATTACACTTCAAAAAAGTTGATTTAAAGAAATGACTAATGTCTGTGCCATCAATGTAAGTCATTTTACCTTTAAGCAGTTTGGCACACCTTTGTCATATTTCATTCACATTTTGTTTCACAAATATCTACTGAGAATCTACTTTGTATAGGATGTACCCTCATAAAGATGAAGGAGACATGGTCCTTGGACCCCAAGTAGATTATAAACTAGTGAGGCAACAACTAAAGCTGATCACCATGACAAAAGTCACAATGAGATAAGTACTTATGGGTAGACTATTTTCCTGGCTATCTATCTCCTTTCTGGCTTAATTTCTGCAGAAAGCTCCTGAGAGTGGTACCAACCACAATAGGTGAGGGAAATGAGGAACAGAGGTGTTCTGTGACTTGCCAAGAGTCACACAGACAGCCTAAGCCACTGACTTTAATTCGAACCCAGGCTATTTTTCTCCGGAGTCCGTGATCTCAGTCACCCTGCTATGTTCCTGCTATAGGACACCTTCAGGAGGGTGTTGCAAAAATGAGGAGTCACCTGTTACTACATTTCAGAGTCTGGAAAAGTGGTTTACATGATCTAAATGACACACAAAAAATAAGGTTTGGATTTATTCTGTGGATAATTGGTTTTCTTTTAATGGTTTCTTTTTTTCTTTTCTCCTTTTTTTTTTTTTTTTTTAAACTGGACAGTGATTCAGTGAAAAAGCTCTGGCAGCAGTCCGAACGAGGGATGTTAAGGAGACATCAAAGGCAGGGAAGCCATATGTTCAGGAAATTGACTAGAAATGCCTAAACAAGGGCAAGAGTATTTGGATGGGGAGATAGGGACAGATTCCAGAAAGGATTAGATAAAGACAAATTGATGTCGGGTTGACTTGCTAAGGTTGAAGGATATGTTTGAGAGAAAGAGAGTATGGAGGTTTTCTAGTTGTGTGAGCAGAAGAAGTTTGGAACCATTAAAAAATGGGAAAGATAGGATGAAGAGTCACTTTGAAGGAAAAAAAACATACATGTAACGAGTCTAGTTTTATAATATAAAGTTCAAGGTATTCAAATGACATACTCATTCTCTATTTATGTGAAGATAGTTTTTCCAAAGTCATTGAGTATACTCATCCTTCAACAGGCATAAACATAGACATATATTATTGTCTGAGACATTTTATGAACAGAAACAGTACTTATTTTTAAATTCATTACCTTAAAATATTAATAGTTTACAAACCAGCTATACACACTTATTCTTTATTATTATCTTAAAGCTAATAGAAATAGCCAATTTAAAAAAATGTTATGCTTCTCTAACATTACTTAATAATTAGCAAGAGTGAATTAAAATTTAATAAAAAATATTTTTCAAACTTCCCTTTTGCATGTTATTAAAGAGTAAAAGTTTATTCATATATTTTATCAAGAAAATACAAGATAACATAGGCAAAGATGAAGTGTTTATTGATGCTTATGCTTTTAAGATTGTTCTTTGTAAAAAATCAAAATTACTTAAAAAATGTATATTACTTAAAGGAGTCTGTATTTTAAGGAATACATATGAGATAATAACTGCATAGTTTTGGATCCATTGTTGTTACATTGTTCAAAAAGAAACATTTAAAATTTTCGATCCGAAGAAATATTTTAGTGGTAAGTGAGAGAAAAACATATTTTAAAGAAAAATAGAACTGTAAGTTTAAATTATCAACAATCTTCACTTGGGTACCATTGAGACATGTCTAACATTTGAAGATATAACAATTATTTAGAGCTTGATTTTGTCCTAAGTATAACATATGGAAGTTAAATCATCTTAAGCCGCCTACCCAATTGTGGTTTTTTAAATACACTACCATAAACACTCTCCTTGCAATGTGAGATATGATCAAATCTATGATTATTTCTATCTAAGAGTCTGTCTATAAGATGCCAAATTTGACAGGGTTTCCTTGAAAGGTTCTTGGTCAGGTTAAAGTTTACTACGGGAAATATTCACTGTGAAGACATGGGTTTAGTTCTAGCTTTTATTTTCAATATATTCATTAACCTTTTTTGGGATCATTTCACCCACTATAACATGGAAATAGCAATGCCTGCCCTGCTAGATCACAGTGGATTGCTGAGGTTATTAACACACATGTCAAAACTACTGGGTATTCCATACCTTTAATATTCAACACATCTAAATATAGGAAATGAGTGCACAATTGATATGAAGACCTTCTCCAAAGGTGTATTTATGGTTCCCACAGGGGCTCGTACAAGGAGCTTATACTATTTTTGGACCCCCTTCATGAGGCCTCTGTGAGAGTGTATAATTCCTCACCTAAGTGTTAATAATGTGATTGCATTCTAAGTGTTTGGCCAGCTCTGTGACTATACCTCTAAGTATTGTTATTACTCACAGTCATTTGATTTTTCCCAACTTATGGAAATTTGTAACCAATTAGTTTATTTAAGTGGTCTCTCATTCTTTCACATTATCTCTATTCCCGTCGTACCATCAATAGTATTATAATTTACTAGATAGATTTTTCCACCACAGGTCAATTTTAGACAAACACAACATTAACAATATACACTCAACAAAAGGTCAGTAAAATGGTTAAAAAAAAAAAAAAGGAAAATTGAGTTATATGTAAGGTTAGGAAGAGTAATCTGATTCCAACATACTCAATGTTGAAACCAAGAAAAGCTTCACCAAAAGTGGGACATAAGCCCCTTTACCCCCAAAGTAGGGAACTTTCATAAATAGGTAAGGATTGAAATTCCACAAGGTGGACTTGTCTGTTAATGGTTCTTACTCTGGTCTCTTAGAACTCGAAGGTAAGAAACATAGTTTTTTAAATTTCTTTCCCTCCATGACACCTCAGACAGTGCCTTGAGTATAAAAAAGTATGTAATAAGAAATGTGCTGATCAAATCAATCAATCAATCAATCAATCAATCAATCAATATCTAGAACAGTGCATGGTAAAGTTTATCAAAAATGAAATCTTTACTTTCAGAAATTACCTGGAAATTGTTTGTCTCAGGGGTCTTGTATCTAGGTTTCCAGATATATTTCATTGGAATGTAACAAATCGCAATCTTTTGTATTTACTTTTTTAAAAAGCCAGGAGAAACTTTAATTATTTGTAGAGTAATTTATGGTTCCCAAACAGTAGAACTATATATATATATTTTTTTCCTTTGTCTAGCGTTAAACTTATGGTCTTAAGTAGACAGTATAAAGATGCTACAATTTTCAAACCTAGCTATCTGAAAATTTGTGTCTTTCTAATCTGTATAGAGCCTATTTAATGTCTGTCAAAATTTTGTATCAAATATAAACCATGATGTTTCAATACACATTTCCACTTAGGCATTTTTAACAACTTCATTCTCTAATTAAAACAAAAACAAAAACAAACAAAAAACCTCTTTACTATTTAAGAGAACATTTAAAGACTGAGTTTCCAAAGCTGTGAACAGAAACATTTGATCAGCTTTTATGCTACTAATTTTTTCAGTGGAAGGGGATGCAAAGAGCATCTGGTAATTTTCAAAGCTGACTGGAAGGGAGGGGATCTCAGTTCCTTCCCAGTCTGGTCATTCAATTGTCTTGTGACCTTAAGAAAACTCATTAAATCTTTCCATTATTCTGTTTAACATTTGAGAATGTTCCTGGTTTGTATGATTTTTTTTTTCTCTCTCCTATGGTTCCTGTTCATAAAGATTTATAAATTAACATCCACAGTCAGGAACTGATATTTTTGAGCCAGGCATTGATTAAAAAAAAAAAAAGTGTGCATTATGCTGATTGTTTACATTGTAACTGACTTCTAAATTATTTTATTAATGTATTTTCCTTTGTTTGGACCTTTTCCATGTTATAAAAATATTAAACTGGCCTCATTTTTTTTAAAGGGTGGCACTTTTAAACTATAAACCATGCTAAAATCACCTTCTATTTAATACTATTAAACTTTTTAGCTATGCTTTTAACATGTTGGAGCATTGATTTAGTCATAGATAATTGTTCTTCTTCATTGAGTTGTCTTAAATAGTATCCTGAG